AATACAGGGGTTTATTGTCACGATTTGAACCCATACATTATCTAATCTTGAAACATCTATCATTATTGTCACGTGATCATACTATCACATGACCCATTATGCAAGCAAAGTAGTTAATTATATCCGTCACATGACCTTACTGTCACCTGACTAAAGCCTAGACTATGATATAGTACATCAGTCAGTGTTACAATACACAATTTTCGGACCTTTAATTTTCATTCTCCTCCTTAACCTTTTACTGTAGTTTTCACACACTGTGCCATGCGGCACTTTGTAACAACCAAGAGTTATTTACTCTGGCGCACACAGGAACACACTATAAAGAAGATGATGGGGAGTGGTTACCCCTTTGGCTGCAGTGAGTTAGTTGTGCTAGACAACAGGAGGACTCGCTGAGTCCTTCCCCATGTATTGCTCTTGTATATATACTAAAATACATGAGGTACTGTTCAGTTATAAATAAAGTTCAAAGTCCGATGTCTAGCATGTGACCGGTCACATGATGAGTCTAGACACTGGTCAGGTGATATGTCACATGACTGATCATGTGACTATGAAAAGTTGAAAATGTAAAGTAAAGTAAATGGTCACATGACTGGTCATGTTACTTGGAAAATAAAAGTAGAAGTACAAAAGTGAAGCATAAGTAGGTGCTGGTATGTTAATTGTAACACACTTTCCCTTTTGTTCAAACTCATCCCTCTCGTGCTCCACTGCCTTCATCAACTGTATAGTAGATATGTACAAACAAACCTGTAGTAGTATATAAACCCCAGTAGATCAAGGAGACTCCTCAGCGAGTCCTCCTGTCATATCCTCACAACTAACTTGTTGAAGCCTAAAGGGTAACCACTCCCACATCATCCTCTCTATAGTTGGTTCTAGTTGTGCGCCAGAGTAACAAACTCTTGGTTGTTACAGTCAGCGCCTCATGGCTGACCTTCAGAAATGTATATATACCAACATCCATGTACATACATTTCCTCAGTTGTTGATTACCTTTTGATATTCGCTATTGATGCTGTTGTTTGATAAGAATTGACTTGTCTTGCTTTTGGGTTTTCCCAGCATAAAGCAAGGTCTTGACAAAATCAACAACTCGTAACAATACCATCTATGAGCGTACCAGCAACTATCCCAATTATCATCACCCTCATCATCGTTATCATCTTTATATTCATCACACTCTATACATTCTATCACCCCCAAACAACCCAACCAATCATCCCCCTCACTCACATCCCTGCATGCCCAGACACCATTATATCATTCTTCCCCACAAACGTCTCACCAACCTCCTCCCAAAACTCCTTCCACACAATTCCCCTTTAGTTACCTTTATATCATCATAATTCCTCTGGTGTGGAACCATTGGAATTTTCTCGGTTTTACATAGTTTCATTTCTTGATTTCCTCTGACCAGGCCGTGCATTTGTGTCCGCCAGTCGGGAGAAGAACTGAGAGCTTAACAAGCCGGTTAAAACTAGACAACTGTTTGGACCTAGCTTTTTTACTATAGCTTTTTATGTAAAATTTTGTAAAATACAAAAATAGCACGTATGTACACAGTCAGTGGTGAATGGAAGAGGATCACCTTGACTAAAAAGAGAACATATAGACTACTAGAGACCTTAGAAGCGGTGTATTGATCCAGCTTATCACTGGTGAACTCCTTCTATGCTCAGTAGAGACTTCTACATTTGGATAGGCGAACAAAATATATACACCAGAGACTACATTTTCAAAGGAAAATTCACACTCCCTCTTATCACACCAATCAAAAGCCTTTCCCCTGTGATAAAACAAGAAACTCCCCCACCACAACAATTACAATTTGAGAATGTCCAATTTAGAGTACCGAGATTGGCCCGAGCAATCCAGCAGCACGGGCGACAAATTCACTCGGGAAATGATGGATTCATTACCAAGAATAGACACTCCCCCGCCAAAAGAAGTATCCCTAGAAGCATACGTGAAACAAGAAGTCGAGAAGGCGATAAGACAGACCCGCCTTCTATATCAGTCCCAACTCGATGAGGCGCTAGAAGAAGTCAGCGTCTTAGAGAAAAGACTAAAAAAGACAAAGACAACATCGCCCCCAGAAAGGCTAGAAGGAACTAGAATGGCATTGGAGAAGCCAGAAAACTTCAATGGAGATAAGAAACAGTACCGGGCTTTCAGAGAGTCCCTACTTCTACACTTCGAAGATGACACCGTCTATTTCAAAGATGATAGGAAAAAGATAAGCTTTGTGCTATCTTTTATGAAAGAAGGAGAAGCCGCGGCCTTTAAGACCAATTGGCTAGAGAACAGAGTTGATGCCCAACAATTGGGACTCGACATCAAACTTGGCCGTTTTTTGCCAACAAAATGGAGGCAAGATTTAAAGACAGTTTTGAAAAGAAACGGCAAAAAATGAGATATTGACCCTAAGACAGGGCAATGAAACTGCACAAGCCTTCTTCGAAAAGTTTGAAGAAAAGAAGAGGTGGGTAGGATATAACAGTAGGATGAACAAAGAGTTCCTGATCTCATTGTTGAGACGGAACATGAATAAGCCCTTAGTAGATCGGGTAATCTACGGAGGGCATATTTCAAGAGATTACCAAGAATGGAAACAAGAGCTAATCCGGATAGACTACATCTGGAGAGAGCGTGAGAAAGAGAAGAAAGGATCCAAATTTGGGAGGAAACAAAACGAGAAAAATTTGGAACAAAAGACAGAGAGGAAAAAAGATGGAACTGGCTACACTTATACAGGTAGCGGAGAAAAGATGGAGGTTGACAAAGCAAAATTCCGCACTGAGGGACAATGCTACCGGTGTGGAGAGAAAGGACATAGGAGTTTTGAGTGCAAAGATGCACAAACAAAGAAACCTTAATTCAATGTCCGAGAATTCTTGGAAAAGATGACAAAGGAAGAAAGAGAAAAACTCCTAGCGGGTTTTTAAAGAGGCCAGCGGTATTGCATCAACCGACTGTGCCCAAAGACAATGTTTCAAACCAATTTTCTTCTCTAAGCGTGGAACTATGTAATCTACCAGAAAGTACAGAAAATAAAATTATTCACACACACACAAAGAAAGAAATAAGGAATGAAAGAAAAGATGCAAACAAAAGAAGCACAACCACAGCAGAAGTGGCGCATAGTGATGAGACATTGTTACGATAACACATTTTCGGACCTTTAATTTTCATTCTCCTCTTTAACCTTTTACTGTAGTTTTCTCACATCGTGCCATGTGGCACTTTCCCTTTTGTTCAAACTCCTCTTTCTCGCGCTGGGCTGACTTTCTTCTTATTTTAGCTACAAGTCTCTCACGCAGTGGAGCTGGTCACACGGGCTAGGCCCCATGACATCATCAGCCACTGCCTCTATCAACTGTATAGTACGCATGTACAAACAAACCTGTAGTAGTATATATAGACCAATAGATCAAGGAGACTCCTCAGCGAGTCCTCCTGTTGTATCCTCACAACTAACTTGTTGAAACCTAAAGGGTAACCACTCCCTCATCATCATCTCTACAGCTTGTCTGAGTTGTGCGCCAGAGTAACAAACTCTTGGTTGTTACATTATACTCGCTCTTTCTACTCTCTCGCACATTGTGCAAACCCAGACCCCAGGGTTAAGGGGATAATTATTGTTTGGGAATATCCCGCATAGCAGATAGGTGCGTTCCTAGCGACGGCCTTGTAGTGCTTTGGGAGAAGAGACAATAATTATGATACATGGCCCCCAGTGTTAAGGGGAGTACTTTAGCTCAGCAATAGTGTGGAACTATTGTTGATTAGAAATTTAGATACAAAAACTTCACTTTCTCTTTCCTCTGACCAGGCCGGGCACTTGCCTCCGCCAGTCTGGAGAAGGGTTGACAGCCTAACAAGCGGACCACCCCCTGACAACTGTTCGGACCAGTGTTTCTTACGTTTACTTTTTATATACTTTTCAAATACTATAGTGTGGGTAGTCGGAGATTGAGATCCGATACTCAGCTAGGAAGAGGTAGATCCGCAGATAGCAAGCGGGGACCCCCAGTTACCTTTTTTACATTACCAAAGAGAACAAGTCAACATGTCATTGCAAACTCCTGACGTCAATGCTCTGTTGCACAACATGCGTGCACAGATTTTGGCGTTAACTACACAATTCGCTGAGCTGCAGGCAAACCCCCCTGCGACAACCCCCTTGGTTGAGAAGAAGTTCAACAAGAAAGTCGAAGTCGTCACTGACCCTGGCACCTTTGAAGGAGACAGAGTGCGATTTGCTGAATGGTGGAGCAAATTCCAAATTTGGGTCAAGGCAAATTGGGATGCATTTTCCGATGACTTTGAGGTAGCAACTGCGGTGTTATCTTGACTAAAAAGACCTGTGGCGGGTTGATACACCCAAGTAAGACTTCAGGAGTGCTACACCGCGGGTGTGTGGCCTACCTGGGACGATCTCAATGTAGATCAAAGGATATTTCAAACCACAAGCTGAGCGTGACTGGGCATGTCAGCAAATCTGTACCTTCAAGCAAGGAAACATGAGGACAGATGATTTTGTAACCTGGTTCCTGGCCCTCTCCATCCAAGGTGGTCTAGGAAATGAACATGCAGTAGAGCTGCTGGAACGCAATGTAAACCCTCACATTGCAGAACAGCTCTATCTACAGGATATGAGGAGCAAAAACCTCTCTCAAGCAGCAGAGGAGGTTCGAAAAATAGGTAGGGCCATAGAGCTCTACAAAATGCATCAAGGTGGCAGGACCACCACCAAAAACAACCATTCCCAGAGGAGCCCTGGGTCGTCAAACCAAAAACAAAATCACTCTCACGGGTTCCAACCATTCGGGTTGCAACCAGGGCAGGGTGCCCCAATGGATATTAGCGCAGTCCAGGGCGGACAGACGCGCAGATTCACCTGCTACAGCTGTGGGCAGGAGGAGCACATGGCCCAACAGTGTCCAAACGGGGCGCAGGCCACCCAACAAAAAAATAATCAAGGGCACCAGGTGCACCAATTAGAAGCTGAAAAGCCGGATGATTGGCTCAACACTCTGACCGGTCGTTCGTACAACGAAATCCGGGCTTTCTTCTACGACCAGCAGGTCGCTGAGATGAAAGCTGAGGGAAAAGAGTTTGGAGCTTAGGTCACTTGGGTGGCTTTGCTCCTATTAACAATGAAGTAAACCACAACAAGGTGGCCCCTGCTCCGGGGTGTTGCACGAGCAATAAAGGAAAGACGGGGGTGGCTCCCCAATTTGTAAATAGATTTTTGAATTTGTTATCTGAAGTATGTACTTGTATGCGACGCTGTGACTGTGGATTTGTCTTGGACCCTCCTGACGATATAGCTGCTTTGAGCACTGATTCAGTGGGTCAAAATGATGAAGGAGTCAATGCTAAAAGTACTTACAAAACCACCGCTGTCCCAGCGTCTCCCTTGGAGTGTGGCCCCGGCGAGACAAACACTAGGGTGCTTGATTCTGGTAAAAATAAAAATAAAAATATAGAAAATCCTAAAGTAGAAAAACATGTTTCTTTTGATACTTTTTCTTCTTCAGAGCCACTTTCCAATGAAATCCCAAGGTGTGTGTTGATGCGCACATATTTATTCCAAAAAGAGATCTGTTTAGATGTTGGTGTGGAAAACCTTGCCCGGGGCACAGTACACCCAACCAGCACACTGCTTGATTCAGGCGCAAACGGCATCTTCATAGATCAGGTCTGGGTGGAGCAAGTTGGATTCCCCCTTGTAAAATCAGATGTATCTATTCCTGTCTATAATGTTGATGGTACGCTTAACACGGGTGGCTGTATCACACACAAATGTTCTTTTGTTGTTGAGTACCAAGGACACAGAGAACGAGTCACTGCCAAAGCTACCCAACTAGGGAAGATTATTTTAATCTTAGGCTGTTCCTGGCTGTTTAAACACAATCCTGAGATCAACTGGCAGACAGGGGTTATCACATTGTCACGTTGCCCTCAGGAGTGTGTGAACTTGGATAAACCAAATCATGTCCGTCAAAATGAGCGTATTGAAAAGAGAAACGCTGGTCACATTTACAAGCTCAGATCTTTAGAAAAGATTGACGATGACGATGATGAGGTAAAACCCGAAGAAGAGATTAAGAGGCTGGTACCTCCCAAGTACCATGACTTCTGGAAAGTCTTTTCAAAATATAAGTCAGAACACTTCCCAGAGGCTAAGCCTTGGGACCATGCTATAGATTTGAAGGACACCTTCAAACCGAGAAAAGGACACATGATACCACTCTCTGCTCCAGAAAGAGATGAGGTATCAAGTTTCATAGATGAACAGCTTAGGAAGGGTTACATCAGACCTTCCAAAAGCCCTATGACGTCCCCGGTGTTCTTCATTCCTAAAAAGGATGGTAAAAAGTGTGTGATTATGGACTATCGTTACTTGAATGAGTACATGGTTAAAAATGCATATCCACTGCCTCTGATCAGTCAGCTAGTAGACAAGTTGGCTGGTGCCAAAATTTTGACAAAGATGGATCTCAGATGGGGGTACAATAATGTACGAATCAAAGAAGAAGATGCTTGGAAGGCCGTGTTCACGTGCCACCAAAGATCCTTTGGGCCCCTCTTCATGTTCTTTGGGTTGACCAATTCACCGGCGACCTTCCAGAGCATGATGAACGAGATCTTTGCGGATATGGAAGACTGTGTCATCATTTACATTGATGATTTATTAATATTCACAAAGTTGGACGATGAGGCTGAGCATGACAGGATCATGCAAAAAGTCCTTCGACGCTTACAGGAATGGGACCTATTTGTCCAACCCAAAAAATGTAACTTTCAAGTGAAGGAAGTAGACTTCCTCAGTATGATAATTGGCCAGAGCGGAATCAGGATGGACTCTGAGAAAGTTCAAGCTATATTGGATTGGCCAGAACCTACTCGTGTTAAAGGAGTTAGGGCCTTCGGCAACTTCTACCGAAGATTTGTTGAAAACTTTGCAAAGATAATGAGACCATTGAACAATCTCACTAAAAAAGACATTGTTTGGCACTGGGGCACCAAAGAACAAGAAGCTTTTGATAAGCTTAAGCAGGCATTTATGACAGCTCCCATATTAGCATTTCCAGAATTAGACAAAGAGTTCCGGCTAGAAACCGACTCTTCTGATTTTGCTACTGGGGCTGTTCTATCAATTAAATGCCCTGACGATCTTTGGAGGCCTTGTGTCTATCTATTGCATAGTTTGTCGCCTACGGAGCGCAACTATTAAATTTACAACAAGGAGATGCTGGCCATCATTAGAGCTCTAGAGCACTGGCGGCACTACTTAGAAGTTGCTAGGCACCAATTTGAAATTTGGACCAATCATAAGAACCTGGAGTATTTTATGACGGCTCAAGACTTGAACCGGAGACAGGCCCGCTATGAGGTGTACTTGTCTAGGTTTAATTATAAATTAATTCATAAGCCTGGAGCTTCTATGGGGAAAGCGGACACTTTGTCCAGAAGAGAGAATCATGCCAATGGCATCGAAGATGGAAACAAAGGTGCCACCCTGATAGACCAATCAAGGGTTGCCAATGTTAGAATTGGGCAGGATTCTCATCTTCTGGAAGTCTTCAAGAAAGGCATCTCATCTGAAGAAAAGGCGTGCCTTGACGGCAATGAAAACTATTTATGGGAAGACGGGCTCTTCCATTTTAAAGACAAAATCCATGTGCCTGAGTCTGCAAGGATCAAGGTAATAGATAGACATCACAACACTCCAGTGGCTGGGCACCCTGGATGGCAACGAACAATGGAGTTGATCTCCAGAAACTACATGTGGCCTGGCATGGTCAAAGATGTACAGGAATACGTAAATTCCTGTCTGAGATATGCCATAGCAAAGAACTCATATCAACCGCTGGCTGGTAAACTTATGCCAAATCCGATATCAGCTGGTTCCTGGCAAGATATACCGGTTGATTTTACGACAGATCTGCCCAAATCAAATAGGTATGATTCAGTAATGGTGGTAGTAGATTGCTTCTCCAAAGAAGTAGTATTTATTCCCATCAATAAAACTATTACCGCCGCTGGTACGGCAGACTTATTTAAGGATTTTGTATGGTCTATCCATGGGTTACCAGAAATGGTTATCTCCAATAGGGGACCACAATTCGCTAGCAAATTTACAAAAGAATTATGCCGGATGCTAGGCATCAAACCCAAATTATCAACGGTGTTCCATCCGCAGACTGATGGACAAACAGAGAGGCTCAATCAGGAATTGAAGCAATACCTCTGGATATTTATTAACGACAGACAGACGGATTGGGCCAAGTGGCTAAAGATAGCCCAGTTCTCTTATAATATTAAACAGTTGTCAGCTACAGGAAAGGCACCATTTGAGGTGACGAGATCATGCCTCCCGAGAATGGGTGTAGGACCTGGCAAAAGGCTGCTAGGAACATGGTCAAGGACATGAAGTCTGTCTTGGACAAAATGCGCTGTTACAATTGACGTACCAGTACCTACTCACACTGTGAGGAATCGATTTTTCTTATCGCATTCCCATCATGTTGTGGTTAGCAGACTCGATCCCTGTCACTCCTCTTGCCCTTGGACTAGAGATTACAGCAGGTGTTTTATTACTTTTATCCTTTTTCTTCTTTTTCTCTATTCACACTCACGTCCTATTGTACCTACAACGAAGGAGACTTGTTGTAGACCCTCGAGAAGATATCCAAATGACATAGCAACGATCCAATGCTATGTCTGGGAATACTTCGGAGGAATATTGATAAGCGAAGAAGGTTGTGAGTCAGCGCCTTCTCATGGGCTTACTGATACAATCGCACATCCCTTACCAATACATTTTCTCATACGATTAGTAAATACGATAGATTGGACCACCTTCTCCTTTTTTTCTTATTGGTTAGCTAGCTGGTCAGACCACTTTTTTAGTTCTTCCCTTTCTCGGTCTGACCATGGTGCTACCAAATGGGTAACCACTCCCACCTCTTCTTCTTCTTCTTTTGAGTGTTGTTTCTTTGTGCTCCAGTGCCCCAAGACTGTGTCTTGTTGGTGTTGTCACACGCGCAAGGCACTATTTAAAACTGCAGAGCAGATGAAAGACAGGGCAGAGCATAGACACTCTAAGGCCCCTGACTACAAGGTCGGTGACCTGGTCTGGTTAGACACCGACCACTTAAAGTTAAAAGATTGGCAGTCTAGAAAACTGACCAAAAAGTGGATTGGGCCTTACCGGATTAAGGAAGTCAAACCCAACGCAGTGGAGCTGGAACTCCCAAAACGAATGAGGGTAGTACCCACAGTCAATGTTAGCCGTGTGAAATCCTACAAAGGGCCACTGCCGGGACAATGCGTAGACCGACCCGGACCAGTTGTAGTCACCCAGGAAGGTGAAGAAGAGTTCAAAGTTGAACGAGTAGTGGATGCACGCTTGAAGCGTGGAAAATTAGAGTTCCTAGTCCTATGGAGGGGCTATGGAGACAAGGACAGAATGTGGGAACCAGAAGCCCATCTGGATAACTCCCGCAACACTGTTCACATATTTTATTCTAAGAATCCCTCGGCTCCTAGGAAGCTTAGAGGCATGGATTCTAAACTTTTTAATTCCCTTTTTCAACCTATGCCCGAAAATCTAACTACTACCTCCGGTACTTGGTCCCGCCTGGAAGTCAAGCCTTAGAGGGGGGGTAGTGTTACAATAACACATTTTCCGTAGGCAATGGGACCATGCAATTGAACTGATACCGGGAGATCATTCCCTAGATTGTAAAATCTACCCATTAGCACGAGGAGAACAAGAGAAATTGGATGCATTCTTGAAAGAGAACCTAGAAACGGGACGGATAAGACCATCCAAGTCCCCATTTGCATCACCTTTCTTCTTCATAAAGAAAAAAGACGGAAAGTTGAGACCAGTTCAGGACTACAGGAAGTTAAATGATATCACTATTAAAAATAGATATCCACTTCCCCTGATTGGAGAACTTGTAGACAAGTTGAGCGGAGCAAAGTACTCCACGAAGTTGGATGTTAGATGGGGATATAATAACATCAGAATGAGAGAGGGAGATGAGCCAAAAGCAGTGTTCAGAACAAATTGAGGGCTATTTAAACCATTAGTCATGTTCTTCGGACTAAT